TGTTAAACTGTTCATGAGATACTTAAGAAAGAAGTGGAAACAAGGAGAGATGTTTGCAAAGAAAAGAACGTACCAAGAAGAGCATTACCCTCACATTTAAGAGTGACTCTGAATGACCAAATGATGTTCAAGAGATGTTAAACTGTAACTAAAACTCACCTCAACTGCATTTTGGTTTCACAAGGACAGGTGTCTGCTTGACGTGTGAAAGGTCATTTGCATGATTGTAATGCTTCACTGCTCCTCACAGTTTTAAGGTCTCGTGTCACGTAGAGTCTGAACCGTGTTCCTGCACTCATCCTGAAAACTGGAGATCATGTTGTCAGTAACTCTGCTTGTCATGTTGGGCTTTCTGTGTCAGGGTGAGAGACTTTGAAAATGTATCATCTGAAATGATAGGAGTAATGTATGTGTGGTACAATGTGTGTCTTTTCTTTTCATGTTTGCATCCAATGTGCTTTGTCTATAACTCTTTCTATTATAATTTAAACTACTGCTACATGTTGTTGGTTATCTAACATTTCACTTCTCATTTCAGAGTCTTCTGCCAACAATTTCCTGACTCAGACTGACACATCCAAGTCTGTTAGTCCTGGAGGGACTGTGACCTTCAGCGCTACAGGGAGCTCTAATATTGGTGCTGATCTCAGTTGGTATCTTCAGAAACCTGGACAGGCTCCTAAACTTCTTATATACTCATCATCAACTAGGTTCTCTGGAACTGAGCCTAGATTCAGTGGTACTAGAACTGGTACTCAGTACACTTTAACCATCAGTAACGTTAAGGATGGTGATGCAGGAGATTACTATTGTCTGGGTAATCATGGTGGAGCATTCACACAGTGATTTAGAGCCGTACAAAAAGCTCCTTCAGTCTGAAGTAAAGCGTCCTGCTGCAGCTGCAGAGGGGAAGAGACTGAGAGGAGGGAAACTGGTCCAGTGAACACAAGAGTCATCAAGCAGAACCACCATGAATCCAAATAAAGCTGACACACACTCACAGACACTCTTCAATACCCTGTTTAAACTATATTATTGTCATTCAATTCAGTCTCTTTATGAGTGAGCTGGGAAAATTAGATTCTTGTTGAACTATAGCCACTGATATCAACATATATTTAACAGTAACTTTATGAATGGCTGTACAAAACAATTAATTATATAACCGCAGTCCAAACATAAATAATTTGAAGTACTGTAAACACACAATGTTGTTGTTTACACTCCACTGTGTATTTTAATAGATTGAGTATTTAAAAAACTCAATCTATTAAAATGTGTTGACATAGTAAAGCTTAACACAGTACTGATTATGCACAACGTTTTCCATAACAAAATGCCTACTAACATTCAAAAGCAGTTCCAAACCACAGTCAGGAAATACCCAGCTAGGCATCCTAACTGGTTGTGTAGCAAGCCCTGTAGAACAACCATCAAATCACACAGCTGATCCATAAACGGAGTTAGAACGTGCAATGGACTTCACCCAGACCTTTCAAGTATCACTTGTCATCAACAATTCGAAACTAAATAAAAAAAAATTCTATTAGCAGATTTTACCAGCTAACAAATATTGGGTATTCCCGGAATCCTTTTTTTCTAATACTAATACCTTCTCAGTTTGTTTATTTATTTAATATGGTCTACATTACTTTACATTTATTTTGTCCTTCTTATTTATTTTCATCGTTATGGGGTTGAATTATTATTTCAGCCCTGGAAATTGCCTTGCAATATTTGTATTGGTGTATATGAGTGCATTTGTGTACTTATACACTTGAACATGTGTATATTTTGTGTATGTGTGAACATATGAATGTAAAAAAAGTTACTTGAAAATAAGTGTTCATAATGTTTATCTGCATATATTATTATTATCATTATTCATTTGCCAAGTACATGTGTACATATGTATATATTTATATATAGTATTTTCATTTTCAAAAATGGAAGTTGAAACTGCTATTGACATGTGCAGAAAATGACCCTATAGTTTTTCTTATATATATATATATATGCATTTAGTTTTTTCTTACCCTAACTTTTATTAATTTTTTTCTCCAGTTTTCTTTATTTCTTTGTACTCCTTCATTTCTATACATTTTTGACGCAATAATGCCAATGTTATATTAGGATGATTCACAGGAGGGCTACTTCCCATAAGCTATGCTTCAGCCCTCCTGCTTCTACTAATTTTGTTTATCTTTGTGTGTATGAATTATAATTCTTTTTTTTGTATGAATTTAGTAGAATTAAAAAACTTTTAAAAAACTGTCCCACAGTCATTATAAATGATATTAATATAATACGAGGTTTAATACTGAAGGTATTAATACATCTTTCTCACAATGAACATATGAATTAAAGAGATACAAAGACACTGTCTCATTTTAATCAACATTTTTATTTAATGATGGTTTAAAGCTCACGCCACATTTGAGATGAATGATGAGTTTCTGTTGGAGTGAAACAAATGAAATCCAGTTGAATTGTGAGCTGATGAACAAACAGGAGAATATGCAGGAAGTGAGGATTAGAGAGCAGCACTAACAACTGAACAGAGACAGCAGCAACATGTGAGCAGAGGAGATGTGTGTCTTCATGAAGATCTCTACCAAAGAAGCTGCTTCCTCTCCAGACAGGAAGTGATGCTCTACTCCGAGCAGCGGGCAGGGTCCAGGCTTTGAGTGACAGGGCTCTGTCCACTCAGACTGGCCTCACAGCTCACTGAGCCCGCCCCCCTCCAGCTCTCTGCAGAGAGGCTCAGGGTGCTGCTCCAGCTGTAGCGGCCGTCGCTCCCCAGGACCTCCGGGCTGTGGGACACCCCTGAGGAGCTGCTGCTGCCCCCCAGCTTCCAGCCCAGCCTCCAGGCGGAGGGGAAGCCCCCGCTGGCCAGACACACCACGGTGGCACTGCCCTGCTGCAGCTCCTCTCTGGAGGGGGGGAGGACGCTCAGGGTGGGCTGCTGCACACCCACTGGAGCAGGGGAGGGAGGGGGGGGAGGCAAAGGAAGACATTAGAGTGAAAACTTGATTATAAGGTCCTTTTTTGATGTTGTCATTTTGCTGCTGTCAAATCCTTGAGTCAGTACTTTACGATACCAGTCACCTCTGTGGAAACATTGGTATCACTGCCTTTTTAATTTACATTTGAGTGTTGTATGTCTTTTAAAAATGGACCTTGAGTCTCTTCAATAAAGCTGATGATGATGATGATGATAAGGAAAAGTAACAAACTTGTGTTTTCTTTTAAAAGAACATCCATAACATTCATCTGTTTGCAACTTACACATTATGTATCTAATATATTATATTCCAATTACTTGTATATAGACTCTCCTTGCACTATTGTATCTGTGTTATTGTGCTGCTCTGTGGGAGGAGCCTGTGACCTAAGATGTTCATTAACATATCTGCACTGTAGCTCTGTGGGAGGAGCCTGTGACCTAAGATGTTCATTAACATATCTGCACTGTAGCTCTGTGGGAGGAGCCTGTGACCTAAGATGTTCATTAACATATCTGCACTGTAGCTCTGTGGGAGGAGCCTGTGACCTAAGATGTTCATTAACATATCTGCACTGTAGCTCTGTGGGAGGAGCCTGTGACCTAAGATGTTCATTAACATATCTGCACTGTAGCTCTGTGGGAGGAGCCTGTGACCTAAGATGTTCACTCACATATCTGCACTGTAGCTCTGTGGGAGGAGCCTGTGACCTAAGATGTTCACTAACATATCTGCACTGTAGCTCTGTGGGAGGAGCCTGTGACCTAAGATGTTCACTAACATATCTGCACTGTAGCTCTGTACACACGACAATAAAAGCCTTGAATCCTTGAATCCTTATATTTCATCAAATAAAACAGAATAAGTTGTGCTGCTGTTACTCTCATAAATCACTCAGGATCAGACCCCCACATGATTCAAGTGTGAATGACTGACTTTGTGTAAAGTGAGCAAGCTAAAGATTCATTGATAATAATGATTGAATATCTTCATATGTGTGATGATGTTCTTTAAACTGACAGAGCTGAACGTCTCAAGTGAAAACAGTTCAAACATTTATCATCTGTCTCTTTCACTTCCTTTTCACTGCATGTCAAATCAATGAACCGTGAACACGACGACAAGCTGCATTCACTGATACAATCACAAGTTTCAAATGAATCCATATTTAACCTTAATTCAACAAAATAGTTGATATTTTAATAGACAATAGATAAATAATGTAAATAAATACAATATTGTGAACTACAAATGTAAAACTGAATGTGGCGGAGACGTCACGCTTTAACAAATCTTAATAAAATATTGAGTATAAAGTTGTTATGATAATAAAATATAATATAGAAAATAAACAAGTTATTTGCTTTAAAAAATGTATTTGTAAGAAACTAACAATTCATATAGAAGTCTGCAAAGGTTCCTTTCAGATTACAAGAGGAGCTTAATAAAAATATATAAAAATGGAATCTAAAAAAATGTGAAGTTGAGTCTCATTTAATAATGAATGAAAGTTATATATTTGCTATAAGTTGTATAAAATATAAATCTCTGGTACTTACAGTCAATGATGAGTTTGGTTCCTCCACCAAAAGTGTACCACAGTGATACAAACTCATTGAGTGGCCGTACAAAAACCTCCTGCACTGTCAACAAGCATGTATCCACTGAGAAAGCTCCCTGATCTCACTGATAACAGAGACAAATATACAGTTTTTAAATTAACAAAGCTTTTCTAAAGATATGGATTACATATCTGGAAGAATTAATATGATTTATGTCATTTTTCATCACTTTTCTACACCTGGCAGAGAAACCATTACAGTCTTCTACACAACTAACTCTCAGTTTTATATTAGTTTCTACACGGTTAAATGAACATGAGGCTTTTAAATAATAGTTATTAACAAATGTATTTGAAACAGAACTGAAACATGTTATTTATCTACAGTGAATCTCTGTATGTATGTTAATGTCAGACAAACAGACATATCATACCAACCACAGTGGACACAAACTCAAATCCTCATCTCCACTCCTGATATAAATATGTTCTTCCATTCAGATGATAGACGGTGTAAATCCAGACAGCTTTCCTCCTGGTTTCGTGTCCCACGTTGCCTTCAGTGTGCTGAGAGCAGAGAAATCATTTCCATAGAGAGGAGGCTTTGCATGGTCAGCTGATCCTCCAGTGAGAAGGTTTATAGTCCTGTGAGTTCAACACTGCAGGACTCACATCTGTCAGTCAGCAGAAAGCACCATGACTCTCATCACCATCCTCATCTGGACGCTGGCCTGCTGCTGTTTCACAGGTTCATTCACTCAGCAACATTTCAAACATCATGTGCTGCCTTTCCTCTCCTTTCTTTCTGCTGAGAAATCAATGATCTGTTTTTGTGTGCAGGATGCAGCGGTCAGGTGACTGTGACTCAGCCTGCAGTCGAGACATCTGCTCCAGGATCCACCGTCACTCTCACCTGTAAAACCAGCACAGATGTTTACAGATGGAATGGGAATGATTGTATGTCCTGGTATCAACAGAAATCTGGACAGCCTCCAAAGCTCCTGATAAATTCTGTGAGCACACTTGAATCAGGAACAGAACCTCGGTTTAGTGGCAGTGGAAGCAGATCTGACTTCTCTATGACCATCACTGGACTGAAGGCTGAAGATGCAGCAGTTTATTACTGTCAGAGTCTCCACTTCATAAACAGTGCTTTGGTGTTCACACAGTGATTTGTAGTCGTACAAAAACCTCCCTCAGTCAGACTGCAGAGACTCTGAGCTGTTACAGCAGGAACCACCTGCAGCTGCTGAAGAGGAAGAGACTGACACAGCCCACTGAACTCAGAGCTGACAGGAACCCACCCAGCACTATTCACTTCTTATTCTTAAATATACATATGTTAATGGATTAATGAGATTAAACCCAGTCCAAAACACATTATATGTAAAAGCAGCATTATACACAAACCTTATTGTGATCTCTGCTTCCCCGAATTAAAACAACAAACGCTCTTTATCTTTTCCCCACATGTCTCCACTCGGTGTGCTTCACAGCAGGAGCATCTCTGGCCTCTCTGGAGTTATTATTTCATCATTATTATAAAGATCCTGATTCAAAATGACAAAGATCAATCTAATGAAGTCTTTAAAATGTTAAACGGTGGCTGATTAAAACCCTCTTATTCACATCAATCAATGAACTTATCCATTAGTTAACCTCAAATTCACATCTTAGTTAAAAACTTCAGGTTTTCTAACAACCAGTTTCATTGAAGTTTCCTGAAATGTTTTTTTGTTCCATTATTGAAACCAAAAACAGCAGGAACATCCAAGAGACGTTGAGTTTGAACATGATTTGACCCCTGACCCCCCCCTGAGACCACCAGTGCAAAGCAGAGGCTTTAGGACTAGCAGACGTACATCACAATCAGAATCAAGTTTATTACCAGATACTTTGACACATACAAGGAATTAGCTTTGGTGTCTGGTGGTACGAACACAAACAATCTAAGAAAAGAAGTTGCCATAGTAGGTACAAAATATAAAGGAAAATAAAATAAGTATTTACACCAAATTTAAATGTAAAAGACCTTAAAAGCTAAAAAACTAAAACACTTACGACAATTAATATGTGACAATATATGGCAAACTAGTGAATTATATTTAAAGTGGAAGGTGTGCAGACATGTGAGCAAACATGTGTAAAATGCAGTCAGAGTTGAGCATGAACATGGCTCACAGAATTAAGAAAGGAAAAAGAACAAGGTGTTGTTCACATGATGTGCAATAATGTAACTCTGTGTGACTGGCGAAGCCACACACAGTCTACTATTCAACATACTTATTAGTGTGAATGCTGTTCAACTATTGTTCTTCAAATCTTTATTCTTCCACATCTTATTATTGTGCTTTCTTCCTGTAGTTCCTGCCTGTGTACATGACACAAGCTGCTCACAACCAATTGCCCCTTGGGGGATTAATAAAGTTGTTGATTGATTGATTATTTCAACCAGATTTCACCGTCTAACTACTTCAGCATACTTTCAGCTACAGAGACCATTCACATATTAAAATGTTCAGCTCCTTCAGGACATGTGTGCTATGACTTTTCTTGTTTTTGACATTTATACTTTTTAAAATATACCGCTTTTTAAACTTTTATTTGTACAATGTAACCCAATGGGAGTATCCTTCAAATCCTCTTTTACCTACACCGTGTTTAAATGCTGCTCCTTCAGAATACTTTCAGCTACAGACTTCATTCCAACTTTGAAACGGTCACAAAACATTCAGCTATTACATTTGTATTCAGCTTTTTGATATCTTTACTGTAGAGTTTCTCACTCATCAACGTTTAAGTGTTGGTAAATGTTCAGGCCGTTTTAGATTATATAATGGTTGTCTATGGGATGGACTCTTCAGGGCTAGAGTGCGTGACATCATCACTTAGAGTGTAGAGGGTGGTGCAGCTGCCTGGTTTGGCACCCCCACTATAACTTTGTCAAGGGTGGTCGTACTCCCACCAAAATAACACTGGTGTTTGCTGACCCCCTCTAGTTTGTGCACACTAAAGCATTTTACTCTGGGCTCAGAGTAAACTAAAGAGGGGCTTCCACATGTGGCAGACCAGGTGTTGGTGCTGCCGGATTTGGCACCCCCCCTATAACTTTGTCCAAGATAGTTGTACTGTCACCAAAATCACCCCCCGGTGTTGGTTCTTTCCATCTTATCTGAGAAGGTTTTCCATCTTCTGTCTAATGTTATGTTGGTGTCTCGTTTCGGTCATAACGCCATTTGCTGGTTTCAGAGTTATCTAACCGACCGTACTCAATGCGTCAGGTTGGGTAGTACTGTCTCTGACCCTGTCACCTTGGAGAAGGGAGTTCCACAGGGCTCTGTTTTGGGGCCCTTGCTCTTTTTATTATATGTAAACAATATTTGTAATCAGATGCAATTTTCTACCTATCATATGTATGCTGATGACACTATTGTATACTCATGTGCTCCTTCTCTGGATATGGCCGTATCCAATTTAAAATCTTTTATTTTATCACGCTGCAGCATGCGCTTCTTGATTCTAAACTGCTATTGAATGGTAAGAAAACCAAAGCACCATGCTGCTCTTGCATTAATAAGTAGTGCACCTTTCTTACTGTCCCAAATGTGCACAATATAGTGACTGCTTTTCGTCTTTTGTTTACTTAGTTGTGTTCTCTGTATTTTAAATGTCTGTGTTATGTGTAAGAACGTGTAACGTTGCTGCCTTCTTGGCCAGGTCAGCATTGTAAATGAGATTTTGTCTCAATGTTTTAATCTGGTTAAATAAAGGTTAAATAAATGTAAAACATTTTTTATAGAGACATGGAAAGAGATGCATGATGCAACTTAGAGACAAAATGACCAAAGAGAGAGAGGAGAAAATAGACGCAACAAGTCCACAAAGAACTGCAAAATGATGAGAAAGAGGCATGACGCCACAAAGAAGTGCTAAATTACTTCATAAAGAGGAAAACAACTACAAAGAGACACAGAAAGACTCTAGATTGTTATACAGGGCGACTGCAAAGCGATAAAGACTCACAAGAGAACTTTGCTCCGATAAAGAAGGGACTGTCACTATATCTCAGATTCTGTGCATGATGTGAAAGATTCAAATGTCTTTACATACTCCTATTTCGACACAAGAGGGCAGCATTGTTGTTTTTTATGCAGATGTAACACAGACAACTCTTTGTTGGGCTTGATGCACAATTATCCAGTTTTTAAATAAGGTTATTGCTGTTTTTACTGCTGGTACTGGTAGTCTACATCCAGGGTGAGATACTGATTTGAGTCTACAGAGAGTGCATTAACCAGCCTTTACATACATAGGGTTAGTTTAGTTTAATGTTCAAACTGTTCTTCATATAAAATAGTTTGCATTCAGTAGCTATGTTTTATTTCTCTGTCTCTGGGCTGTAGTGGATTTGAAATGAAATTCACTCTGAAGATGAGCTGAAGATGCATGAAGTGACTGCTGTATGGGAGCTAATGTGGGCCTCATATAGTCATACAAGAACCTCCCTCGTATGAAACAGCGTACAGAGTGCTGAGCTGTGACCTGACCTGAGGTTCTGATACGCACCACCGGCACAAACGTACAGAAACTACATGAGCCCCAGTCAGAGGGGAAGTGAAACTCAAATGTTCCCCTTTCCTAATCCAGATGTTCAATTATATACATAGTCACTAAGAACAAAAGGCCATCTCTGATGAGAGATGAATGTAAAACAGGATCTACAGTGTGACACTATGTGACTAGTACTGTGTTGCACATTTATTAACCAGGCAATACAATTAAATGCATAGATCAGGGGTGTCTTGTACATTTTGTATTGACCCTCAACGAAGTCTAAAAGTATAATGGAATATGGCCCACACCTGAAACTTCAGCTTGTCTTATATTATACTTCTTAAATATATATGTTGACATATATTACACATTAGTATTCATGTATTAATAAGCCCACTTTTCAAATACATTCAGTATGAGTTGAAAACATTTTCTAACAAATCTTACTTGATAAAAAAAGCCCAATAACTTATTTGCATAACAAGCTTGAAATATATACTTCATATTTCCCCTTATCTTAAGCAATCTGAGGCTTCTGTTTTAAGGGATGAGCTGCCAACACTTGTTATAACAAAATAAATGAAACCCTATGGAGAGCTGTGCGCTTTTTTTCTTAAATCATATTCAGGTAACAAGCATGATTTACCTACATTTGATTGACTTTGCTAACTTATAACTTAATTTATGAGGCAAAATACCTCACCTCTAGTGAGTGGCCCAGCCCCTTGTATGTGTTTCTCTATGTGGCCCCCTCATTGAGTTAAAATCAACCAGTCTTGACAGACCTGTTAGATATTAGATGTCTCTCTGTTGCATGGCATGCTGTGTCTCTATTCAGTGGATTTGATAACAAGAAGGGACATCCTAGTGAATCAAACACTCAGTGGATATTGTGTTCAATGTAGATGGATTTGCCAGCGGGGGAACTGTTAAACTGTTCATGAGATACTTAAGAAAGAAGTGGAAACAAGGAGAGATGTTTGCAAAGAAAAGAACGTACCTAGAAGAGCATTACCCTCACATTTAAGAGTGACTCTGAATGACCAAATGATGTTCAAGAGATGTTAAACCGTAACTAAAACTCACCTCAACTGCATTTTGGTTTCACAAGGACAGGTGTCTGCTTGACGTGTGAAAGGTCATTTGCATGATTGTAATGCTTCACTGCTCCTCACAGTTTTAAGGTCTTGTGTCACGTAGAGTCTGAACCGTGTTCCTGCACTCATCCTGAAAACTGGAGATCATGTTGTCAGTAACTCTGCTTGTCATGTTGGGCTTTCTGTGTCAGGGTGAGAGACTTTGAAAATGTATCATCTGAAATGATAGGAGTAATGTATGTGTGGTACAATGTGTGTCTTTTCTTTTCATGTTTGCATCCAATGTGCTTTGTCTATAACTCTTTCTATTATAATTTAAACTGCTGCTCCATGTTGTTGGTTATCTAACATTTCACTTCTCATTTCAGAGTCTTCTGCCAACAATTTCCTGACTCAGACTGACACATCCAAGTCTGTTAGTCCTGGAGGGACTGTGACCTTCAGCGCTACAGGGAGCTCAGATATTGCTGCTGATCTCAGTTGGTATCTTCAGAAACCTGGACAGGCTCCTAAACTTCTTATATACTCATCATCAACTAGGTTCTCTGGAACTGAGCCTAGATTCAGTGGTACTAGAACTGGTACTCAGTACACTTTAACCATCAGTAACGTTAAGGATGGTGATGCAGGAGATTACTATTGTCTGGGTAATCATGGTGGAGCATTCACACAGTGATTTAGAGCCGTACAAAAAGCTCCTTCAGTCTGAAGTAAAGCGTCCTGCTGCAGCTGCAGAGGGGAAGAGACTGAGAGGAGGGAAACTGGTCCAGTGAACACAAGAGTCATCAAGCAGAACCACCATGAATC